GTAGGAGTTTGTGTGTGTGTGTTTGATTTGCGTTTATGATTTATAGGTGGAAGATATGTATAGTGGCTATGTGAAGAGAAGAAAGGGTGGACCCGAAAATGAGGGTATGGACAGATAGATCCTGATAATTTGAAAATGCAGAGGAAGGGAAAGAGAGTGACAGAGGGGGAAAAGGAAGAGGTGAGAAAAATAGATATAGAAATAAAGAGAGAGAGAGAGAGAGAGAACATTAAGAGGTAACGAAAAAAAATGTATGTATGTGTTTGCACGTATGTTATTCCCTGTCGTAGGCACGGTAACCCTCCCTTTTCTACCAAACGAAGGCCGTCACCCGGTCCACCTTTCTAATAAGCGCTGATACCTATCATCTAGCAAGACCCAAGTCATTCCTCCATTGGGTGGTGGCCCTCTCGAGTTTTGTGTGGAGGTCCACCTGGGACTTCATCCTTGAGGACCGCCACCGCAGTGCCAGGGAAAACTTGGTCTTCTACGCAGATTACTCAAGAACGATCAACTTGGGGTGACGTGAGGGTGTATGTGTGTGTGTCCCCTGTGGCCAATCAGGTTCCCCCGGGGTCACTCTGATTCCGCGGGCCACCTCGGGTCACCATCTGCCATTTTGATGTTCTTGAATAACTCTGTCCTCTGACCTGGGCATTGTTTTCTTTCTACTGACGGCAGAGAGCCAGTCAAGGGAGCATCTGCCCCTCACGGAAGCTTCTCAACAGCGTCGTGTCATAACTTGCCAGAGCGGAGAATACTGCCAGAGCCTTATAACTTCCCAAAGAGCACCATATTTGCAAAGGAGTATCGAAACCTTTGAACAGGTTTAGTCCTTTCCTTGTAGATGCATTACCATCCATAATCATGCTACACAGAGTTAACACACCCTTTCTAAAGTGCCGTTAGAATGTTCAAGGAAATGTTTAATATCAGTAGAAGTTTATAACTATCCGCCGGGAGTCTCACTCGAACTGCTGTACCCGACCGGCAGAGGTGATCCTCCCTACAGCCGTGTCTTGTCTAATATCACATTATGCACTGAGTGATGAGGGAGAGCGGTGAAGTGTCGACCTGGAGAGTGCGGCGCCGGCGAGTCCCGGAGGCCGCGAGCGCCTCGGCCCGCCGCGGCAGGAGATAAGGGCAGCGGGAGAGAGATGTGAGACTGGTACTGGGTGTTGGCGAGTGTAGAAGCGTGTAAGGCGCGGACATCAACAGTAGCCTACAAACAGCTGTGGTTGCTACTTTTACTTCTGCTGTTGCCCGCGGTTGGACGGCTTAGCTTCACGCCTCCGACTTGGGCAGCGACTGCCCGCTGAGCGACGCCGGCGCGGGGGGCGACCGCTCCCCTGACTGCAAGGTCGGGCTCAGGCTGGCCCGGGGGAATATGGGAGGTGCGTTTCCTTGCGGCTGCTGCGGCTGCTGTTGCTGCTGCTGCCACACGGGCGAGCCCCGCGGGGACTGGCCGCCCGTGAGCGCCGGGTAGCCCCCCGGCCGGGCCGCCATGTCAGGGTGGAGGGAGTTGGAGGAGGGGGCGGCGACTCGCCTTTGATCAAGGAGCTCCTGGTGCTTCTGCAGGCACCGAGCCAGGACGTCGGGGAGCGAGTCCAGCGACTCCTGGATCTGCGTTAGCTTGTCCTCCATCGTCGTCACGCGCTCGTCCAGGACGTCCTGGCGCCCGTTCATGTCGGACACCAGCTCGTACACGGTGTTCTGCGTCTGCGGGCGGAGAGGGCGGCTTACTTGGGGATTCAGGATTAAGGGCAATAAACAACAATACGCGCTTTATACATAATGCACTGAGTATGACAATCAATTGCTCTGAGTTATCATTCCGTGCAACTGTACAGACAAGTAATAAAGCAACAAATTTATCAGATAAACTTTTTAAAATCTAGTATTTAAATCTAGTATTTCCTGAAGTGGCATTCCACTCAAGCAGAAATATATCTTTTAGATATATTTTTCTTTATTTTCATATCTTAATTGATTTACATATCTATCCATATCACGAGTATTATCATATTATTAAAATCATTATTGAAATAAATATCTCTCATCTCTCTAGCTACCATTCTCTCTCCCTCTCTCTTTCACTCTCAATTACCTGCTCCCCCCTTTTCTCTCTTTACTTGCATCTCTCTTCTCCTCTCTCTTCTCTCTCTCTCTCTCTCTCTCTCTCTCTCTCTCTCTCTCTCTCTCTCTCTCTCTCTCTCTATATATATATAATATATATATATATATATATATATATATATATATATATATATATTATATATATATATATATATATATATATATATATATATATATATATATGCATAATATATATATATATATATATATATATATATATATATATATATATATATATATATATATATATATATATATATATACATATATATATATATATATATATATATATATATATATATATATAATATATACATATATATAATACATACATATATACATATATAATATATATATATATATATATATTATATATATAATACATAATACATAATATACATACATATATATATATATACATACATATATATACATATATATATATATATATATAATATATATATATATATATATATATATATATATATTATATATATAATATATATATATATATATATATATAATACATACATACATACATACATACATACATATATATATATAATATAATATATATATATACATATACATATACATATATATAATATATATATATATATATATTATATATATATATATATATATATAATATATATATATATATATTATATATGTATAATATATATATATATATATATATATATATATATATATATATATATATATATATATATATAATATATATATATATACATATAATACATGTAGTTATACATATACACATATATTATAATATGCATATATAACCTCCCCCCACCTCTCTCTCTCTCTCTCTCCCCCACTCTTTCTCTCTTCCTTACATCCTCACCCATTTCCTTCACACTTTTCCCCCATCTCCTCCTCCTCCTTCCTACCTTTGCCATATCAGTGATGGTGTTGGCGTGTCCATTAATTTCCGCTGGTCCATTTTGACCTTCCGTAGCCTGAGGGAAAGGCGAAAGAGACTGATCACAAACATTGCTCCAAAAAAATTGTTTGTGTGTGTGTGTGTGTGTGTGTGTGTGTGTGTGTGTGTGTGTGTGTGTGTGTGTGTTGTGTTGGTGTGTGTATAATTTGACTGATGAGATGAGAGTTAAACATAAATAGGAGATAGAATTAAGATATTATTTCTTTTATCAATGGCAAGAAAAAAAAATCTAATTTAGAAATCAATAGCAAGGTCATTACGGCTCTCGTTAAGGTAAGACACATAAATGGTCGCTATTTTTTTCCTTTGAAAAGCTCCCTGGTGCTATTACTAGAAATAACTACAAACTCAGCCTCAATAGTCCGGCAAGATTGGAACCAAACAGGTGCCGAAGAATCGATTTTTTTGAAGCAGTAAACATTCTCTATTTTTATTTATTTTATTATTATCATTATTTTTTTTTTATTTAACCACTTTTGTCACTGTAGCAGTGAATGTCTCGTGTTTTACGTTTCTCTTCGTTTACATATATACACAACTTGACAGATTCTTAGATAAAACATCAGTAATTTAGGATAATATACCACCATAAATAATTACGTCACCTTTTATAAACATAAACATTGGGATGATGGTGACTCAATTAACCATTTTCCGGCCATATTAACAAACCGATTGGTCTGGACTAATGATTGCCCGACCAGTGAAAGCTGAACCAGCGATTGCCGGACCAGTAATTGCCGAACCAATGAAAGCTGGATTGCCGGGAATGAAATTGTAATTGCCGAACCAATGAATTTGCCGAACCAGTGATTGCCGGACCAATGAAAACGTATCATTACCAAAAACACAAGTATAACTTACGCGTAAATGGCCAATAGGAACTTCCGCTGGTGCGTCCTGACCCGACCGTGGTTAACCTTTTTGACAAGTTTGGTGTGTTTGTATATTAGCCACGTCTCGCGCAGGACGTTAGCCGCCGAATTTTTTAACTGTGGAGATAAGGTTTTCGTTAGTCATTTCAGGCTATTTTTTCTCTAATTTTCATTTTTTTAATCTTCCTATTTGTCATTTTATTCAGGATCATACTAAGCAAAATTGACTAATCTATTTGCCAAATCAATCATTTATTGTGCTTAATTATTTGCATGGCAAGAAAAAAAATATAGCATTATAGTTCTGACTGCTTAATCTTACACAGCTGGAGACTTAGGGTCAAAATGCCGTCCTTCTCTGAGAATAAGACCAATTAATAAGAAAACTGTGATGAAAATACTATAGGGAGAATATACATTAGGAAAGGGTAGATAGAAGAACAGTAGATAAAACACATAATGAATAAAAAAGGGAAGAAAAAGTCCTGTAAACTAACGATTAATCATTTTAACGTTACTAACACAGAGAAATTTAGCAAGTGTTTATACATACCGTATGAATAATATATCTGTATGTGTGTATACAATTATACATGTATATATGTAAGTACCCTTACAAAGTATAATATTGGGAACGCACGATTAACTTATGAAGACATTTTTAAGGCCAACGAGTGGAATTTCAAGGAAATAGTGAAGATTCTCTAAAAACGAATCTTATCCCTAATGGAAGAGGCTGCACAGGATTACTTAAGATTCCCCTTCATCTAAAGAGAAAACGGGACCTAAAGAGAAGGACCGTTTAGATAGATGGCGTATTCTATCATTCTATCTGTCTCTGGATGTTTACTTGGTCTATTTGTCTATCTATCTATATATATATGTATATATCTATCTATTTGTCTACCTGTATGTATGTACCTATATCTAAATATAATAGATATATACGCATATATATATATACATCGAACATTTCCATTAAATGTCAATGCATTACAATACATCATAACAGAATTATTAAG